GTGCCTCTAGCACGAAGCCAAAGTTTTGAGGGAAACCGTTCGTCGGCGTTTCAGACAGGTTTACTGCTTCACACAACAAAGATATCTATACAGGTAAATGTCATAGGTGAAAGAGGCAATTCACACATGAAGGACTAACAAAGATAAATACTTTGTATCAAAAGAGCTAGACTATAAGAAAAGTTTTTAAAAGAACTAAGACAAAATCTAACAACGCCTAACAAGAGCATGCATACATATTCTCAATAGCTAAATTATTGTAACTAGCCTCCCATGATGAATATAGCAGTCACAAAAGCCATTAATGCTTTTGAGTTGAAATGCTGTTGGAGAATGTAGAGAGTATCCTAGACTGGCCAACCAGTTTCGACAACAAAAAGAAAAACAAATGAAGACTACAGGAGACAAACTGAAAATCGTGAGGGTACCAATTTTGAACGCTTGTTGACACATAACTGTATTTCTGTTCAACTGTTGGTTGATTATTCTTGTTAGATTTATCATTCAACAACACTTCACAATAAACCACCAGTCAAACTCAAACAAATATGACGTTATGAGTTCACAAGCTTTTAAAATTGGCGCCCTCACAATTTCCAGTTTGTGACTACCGTTGTTTCCCCCCCTGTGCTCTTCAAATAAGAAAAGGCTGACTGGAAACACACATTGGGAAACAAAAGCTGGAAACATTTCAAAGGTGGACTAGACAAAAGAAAATAATCATGGAAGAATGAAAAACATAGATTTAAAAAAAAGAAAAGAAAAGAAAACCCACGAGGAAGAAAATCAATGGAGGAGAAATCAACAATGATAATGGCAGTCGTTTGAAAGACTGGAGACAGAGACGGTCTCCACAAACTATTATGGAAGTCATGTCTACAAAAACGTGCCAGGAAGAAAGAAAGATGGCGAGTGCGGTGAAGATGGCATGAAGGGTGAAGGTAATGCCACAAAAACTTCCGTTGATGAACACAAATCTGTCGGGTATTTAAAAAAGTCATCTCTTTCAGATACCATACCGTAAAACTGGTACTTCAGCAATGCCTAGGCCGCTGGACCAACAAATTCTATAATGCCAGAGACTAGAGTCTTCAGTAAGATGAACCTGAGCTGAGGTCAAACTTTTTCCTTTCTCAGCAAGAGGGAGCCAGAGCCAGGGGAAAACCACAAACTGCGCACATCCATGGGCAGAAATGAAGCTTCTAAACGTTCAAAATGTGACAAATACTACTACTGAACAAGAATGGGAGTCATTGGCTGTAGCAGAAGCCACGAATCTTCTTAACCATCATTTCTTGACTGTTTTGCTTAAGAAATATTCTGCCCTGCACATGCATTGGTCATTGTCAAACACTGATGAATGAACAATATTATTATTATTATCATCATCATTATTGTACGATTATTCCATCTATCCTTTGCCGATTTTGATATTTAATTCAGGGTAGCGACCAATCTGTACCTGGGGCTGAACACTTCAGAAAAGTAAAATCTTCAGCACAACATCCCTTCTATAGTTCAGAGCAGAACATGAAGAGCTAAAAAACAAGTTCTTTAAAATTTCAGAAATCACTTGGTCAACACCAAATAAAAATCTACACACAATTACAGAGTAAATTCAGAAGGAGACATGTGTGAGGCATTGTGGTGAAATCAGGCGCTCGTCAAAATACAGAAATCGGAGAAACAGGCATTTTTCTGCCACTTTGGAAATTTTCATAGAATTTTTTTTTTTGGGCTCAACCTTTTTTATGTCCATATAAAAACACATTTCCATGTGAATTTTACTGAAAAACATTGATTAAAGGCACAAAATATGTCATTTTTTTTGTTTTCAAGGACTCTTTAGCTATTGGAGTTACCAAACGTTGGCAGCCATTTTCGTGTTAATTTCACCACTGAAACCAGGTGACCTCACTTCCTTCAATCACAAATATCTTGAGTTCTATTCAAGATAGATGGATATTTATTTCATTGGAAGCAAGGCAAATAAATAAGCTTTCAGATGACACCAATAACCCCATATGCCCAAAAAATGACGAGCACCCGATTCCACAGCGTCTTGACACATACGCGAGGCGTGCTGACAAAACGAGTCACTTCTGGCAATTCACAAATGAAGATATTAGCCAAAAATCGACATTAAGGTCAAATTAGTAGATTTTCTGTTGATGCCATATTCCTTAATTATAAACCGTCTTTTATTATTTCATACTTCTAAATCGTAAAAACTTCACCTGTAAGATAAGCGTGATGTATCCATTTTCTTAAGGCTTGAATCCGAGAAGTAATTCATCTTGCCAGCATGCTTCACATATCGTGTACGCCTGCCTACGACATGACCTTGCTTAATACACAGGGGGTATATTTTGCTTCCAAAATTTGCCCGTTTTTTGTAGGTCGCGGGTGTGATATGGAGTGAATGTTCGAGGGAGCTCAACAAGTGTGAAATCAAGTACTCGTTGGGAATCAAGGTGTGTTAGTTTAGTTTTAGTAGAGGTTTTACGGCGCTCGCAACTGCATAAAGTCATATGAGCGCCAGAAGATTAGAGGAGTTACAAGAGAGTAACAAACACAAAAAAGAACGAGGGGAGATAAGGACGACAGATGTTTGATAGGAAAGAAGGAGCAAACCACACCAGAGCACCCGCCAACCACCCACTATCAAGGTGTTTTATCTTCAAAGACAATTGGTTGCTGCACTGAGATCGATTAATTCTGTGGGCTTGGAGCAGTAGGTAATCCAGTGAGACACTGCGAGGTGTTGTAATATTATTCACATTTCTAACGCTTCAATGAAAAACACTATTTGGCATTATTTCTCCTTTGTTTGGCTTTATCCTCGCTCTGTATGTCACACGTATAATAAGGGGGGATGCAACGGTACTTTTGGAACTCTTAAAAAAAATTACTCATACTAAAGGCGAGAAATACTGTAAAAGACTCTACAAAAAGTGAACATATCGTCGGCAAGTAGTTAAAATGTACAAGACTCGGAAAGCAAAATTTTTCACGCGCGAAAAAAAACTACTTCATTCTTTTAACAATTATGTATCTTTCCTTGTATTTTTTTTTTTCAACATTTAGAATTTAAATTTCGACAAAATATTTCTAGACCACAAACAACCGTTATCACATAGTGAGAACTTGCAATTAGAAACAATTTTCAAATGTACAGCTGGCTGAGGATATGCAGACAAAACAGGCTTAAAGAAACACACACCTACAAGACATGAGCTTCGTACTTGCCTTCACTCTTCTCATACAAAAATAACGAACATAGGAAAGTACAAGCACAGACAAAAATACCTCCTCCGCTTTGACACACCATTTCCTCCTTAACATCATGCAAAGTTGGCAAGACAGACGAAGCACAGATGATCACTGTGTGCCTTTACATTGTTTTGTTTTAGTTGAGGTTTTACTGCGCTCGCAACTGCATAAATGTCAACCGAGAAGTCCTTACAGGGAATCAGACTAACTCTGCTCACCTCTCTAGCTTCAACAGAACAAAGTCTGCTTCGACTATCAAGGCACCCCGGAAATAGTGGGTCATAAGAGTGAGATAAACATACAAAAGAAGTAGAATAAAATGACAATAGTAAGGATTAGGAAAGAAAAAGCAGCAGTTCCCTGTTGTAGTTTAGGCACATTTGTGAGCATGACATTGTTAGATCAGCCCATTTACAATTACAATTCTACTGTGCACTAAAATGAGAAATGTCCCCCTTTTAGGAATGGCCTAGAGACACTTCAGTCAGGGGGTGTGCCTTTACATAACCTCTGTCTCAACTTTTCTCCCAGTAGAGTAGCACATCACATCAAAACTAAGACACAACCAAAAAGCTAAAGCTAAAGCTCTTCAAACTCAAAACAATCAGGGCGGAATGTTATGGCACACATCACAATCATATATACGAGCACAGAAGAATTGATTCAAATATGCATATACATAAACATATACCGTAGCTAAATATACACATATATATGTATATAAATCATGTATATTTGTTTCTTAAAAAATCATTTTGTAAGACTGATAGAAATCTTGTGGAGTCTAAAAATGCTTTATAAACATGATAATACTGTATATGCATAGAGATAGAGAGAGATTGATTCGACTGTAAAGATATGTGGCCATTGTGGAGATTTCCTCTCACAGAAATTATCACAGAGTTGCTAAGCTACGTATGGGAAATATAGCAAAGTCCAAGTGCTGGCACAAACTTCCAGTGTCTAGACTTACACTTACATTATATCAGTTTCAAGCAAATGTTTTTGAAGACCATTCTGAAGGAAATACAGTCAGGCACGGGCATGGGCAACTCAAACGCATTGGGGAATTGACAAATGTGTTCAACATATTATGTGAGGTATCGAGGTGAAATCAGGCGCTCGTCAAAATAATGAAAGTGACGAAATTGACATTTTTCTGCCGGTTTGACTATTTTTATTGAATTTTTGTTTTTTGGCCCACCACTGTTTCTGTCCATTAAAAAAACACATTTAGTTTCAGATTTTGTTTAAACATGTCGATTAAAGAAAACAAAATGTAAATTTTCAGTTTCCAAGGACTCTCAAACTATGGAAGTCACCAAACTTTGAGGACCATTTTCTCGCAAATTTACCTCGGAAACCAAGCAACCCCCTCTTTCTTCAATCCAAAATATCTCGACTCCTGTCCAAGACAAACGGGTACTTTTTTTTTCACGTAGAGAAAGACAACAGAACGAACTTTAAAATGATAAAAATAACTTCACATACCCAAAAATTGATGAGTGCCTGATTCCAGCGAATCGTGACACATATTCATAATTCGGGTTACCTGATAATGAAATATTAAAGCACCATCCATCAGGGGAAAGGCAAATTGAACTAAAAGTTCGTGATTTCGAGATTTTTTTGTCACGTTAGTGTTACCTTTTAGGTTTTCTTTTTTAATAAGGGGCACACGCCATTTGCAACACAATTTGGTCATACAAGTGCTGAAGATCTGAGGTGTTACAAGAGAGTAACAAACACCATATAAGAGGAGGAAGAGAGATTATAAGGATGATAGATGTTTGATAGGAAAGAAGGAACAAACCACACCAGAGCACCCACCAACCACCCGCATTTGTGCTATGCGTGCCCGACTGTACCAGCAAACAGAACAGCTAGGCCCACAACGCCAACTGATCCCTGTGAGAGACTTTCTTCTGTCACAAAAGAGTTTGAATACACAAAGTGGACTCCGTTCTAACTGGAATGTCCAGCGTGAACACGCTCTAGCCCCGATCACACATGGAGGGACATTGACGACAACGACTCATGGGTCAAGCCAGGACATGCTCCTAGACTGGGCACCCCTGGCTCTTGCTTTACGTCGGCTCTCTAGCTCTGCCCGTCCGTCGTGCACTCCGAACCCTTCCTGGGAGAAATAAGAAAAGTCACACACCATTGTGAAACCAGCAGTCTTTAACAGTAATGTGGAACTCAGGGAACTGTAGTGAGAGTTTGACATGTTATACTGCAAGGGGGAGGGGGGAGAGGTGGAAGGAGAGAGGAGGGCCTTTAACTATAAGGTGGAACTGTAGGTACAGTTTGACAAGCTATGCTGCAGATGGGAGGGGGGGGAGGGGAGGGGGAAGGAGAGAGGAAGGCCTTTAAACATAAGGTGGAACTGTAGTTAGGGTTTGACAAGCAATACTGCAGATACTTTTTCCGGTTCTGTTCTTGTCTAAGATTCTAAGACGGTTACCTTGTCAAGGAAAGAAGTCGTTGTCTTAGATAGAAGGATGCCCCTAGGGCAGTGTCATTATAATATTTGAAAAATGCAAGGGGTGTGTGTGTGTGTGTGTGTGTGTGCGTGTGTGAGTGAGTGTGTGTGTGTGTGTATGTGGGGAGTGTAAAAGTGTTGTTTGCTACAAGTGATTGTCTTGGACAGGTCGCCACTAGAGCAGGTTCGCCGGTACATTATCTGTCCCCGTCGTTTTAGGCAAGAAAAATTCTGAAATTATGCAAACTGAGCCCCCAAAAATGTGAAATTATGCGATTCTGTTAATTTTAACAAAGAATGACAAAGGAAAATAATCAGAAATTTCGCAAAAAATGATCAAATTTTGCTAAATTATGCGGGGAGCATAAAACCACGGGGACAGTTACATGGTAGTTTAGCGGGCACTCACCAAGGTGCGGCTCAGAGGCTCTGCGTTGCGTGACGAGGAAAGGGGCTGCTGTTGTATCCCAGAGCTGGTGGGTGCTCTGAGGGCCAGATCACAAACTTTGTTGGTTTTAGTACAGGTTTTACGGCACTCGCAACTGTATAAGGTCATATGAGCGCCAGAAGATTAGAGGTGTTACAAGAGAGTAACAAACATAAAAAAGAAGGAGGGAAGAAAAGGACGATAGATGTTTGATAGGAAAAAAGAAGCAAACCACACCAGAGCACCCGCCAACCACCCACAGATCACAAAGGTCACAGGGTTAACATGAAAAAAGAAAGAAAAATCAGTCACAAATGTTTGATGATATCACGATCCCAAACAAAACATCAAAAGTGCACGAAAATAGGGCGGCTGACACAAAACTGTTACACTGAAACTTCACAACAAACTCTATATATATATATATACAGTTAACAGACCACATCTTTGGAAGCGAATGCTTCATTTGTCATTCCACACTAGTCTTTAAAATAACTGAATACAGAACCGTTACTCTACACCTTAAGTAAAAAAGCACCTTGGATAAAACAGTTCTGAAGTAACGACCTTACAAATACAGTAAAGTCTACTTATAACAAACTTCGACTGATATGACTTACTTTTTTTCCAAAATCATCAGTAGCTATTATTTCAATATTCAATGTAAAACTATCTTAATGAAAAAAAGATCTGCGTTACTATTAACTGAAACTACAAAATGAGTGAAATTTTTTTCTCCAAAATCATCAGTAGCTATTATTTCAATATTCCAGGTAAAACTATCTTAATGAAAAAAAAATATGCGTTACTATTAACTGAAACTACAAAATGTGTGAAATTATGATAAAAGATTGAACAACGATGGTACTCAAACACAAATTCTGTAAACTATCAGGGGGTACTGAGTGTATGCACACTCTATAACATATATGAAGTCAAAAAAAGGTCTGACACTTTCTGAAATGAAACATCTAAGAAAAAATTAACACTAACACATTACCAAAATGAAAAATAACCAACAGTATCTCCAAAAACCATCTTCTAAATTCTCTTTCTGAACAATCATGTTATGACAGATGTGAAAATCTTGTACATACCATTGAAAGACAAATCTTCCTGCAGCATGGTAATAACAAAGAAAGTAAATAAATAACATGGCATTACAGAACTAACATCACCCGTCTAAGATGGTAATATCCAATCATTTTCACATAATATCTCAAAATTATAATATCTAGACACTGTGTTCCTTTGTGAAACTTGTTTGGGAATAAACAAACATATAACTTATGTTTTAGTAGTAAGGGTTTTACGGCCCTTGCAATACAATAAGGTCATACAAGTGCCGAAGATTAGAGGTGTTACAAGAGAGTAACAAACACAAAAAAAGAAGGAGGAGAGATAAGGATGATAGATATTTGATAGGAAAGAAGAAGCAAACCACACCAGAGCACCCGCCAACAACCCACATCTCCATTTTTAATAACAGTGAAAACAGTTCTTAACAAAGAGTGAGCTGATGAAGAAGTCACATTTTCACTGTTCAATAAATGGAGATATGACAAGAGAGCACTGAAGTTGCGATATGTGAACAGAGCACTAGGATGTAACGACTGTGTGCCAGTGTCTGATGTACAGAGATGACGCTATTAGCAGGACGTTTTATTGTTTTAGTAAGAATTTTACAGCATTTGCAACACAATTAAGTCATATAAGCGCAGAAGATTAAAAGAGTAACAAATGAGTAACAAACACAAAAAAGAAAGAGGAGATGTAAAGACGGCAGATGTTCGATAGGAATGAATGAGCAAACCACACCAGAACACACGCCAACCACCCACTAGCAGGGTGATAAACAAAACAATCAGTAACATGAACAAGAATCAAGAAACACATCATTTTCAATATAAATATAAACAAACGACGAAGTATACAAATAGAGAACAACCCATATCAAAACAGAGCAGCTATGCTTCACAAAACTAAAACGCCAAACAATTAAATATGTACAATGCACAGAAACTGAGAAAAGTGTAGGAAAAGTTCATCCAGCCTTTGAAAGAACACTATCTCCAGAATTCCTTTTAAAAAACCAATCTGAGGACATGGACAACACATCAGATGTTTTTCTTCCAAGAACAAAAAAATGTGATAACAACAAAGAACAGAAGGAGTGGGAGGGGGGGGGGGGGGGGGGGGGAAGGAATGAAAGAAGAGGGTTGGAGGGAGTGAACAATTCTATATGAACCAACAGCCCATCATAATCTAAGGCAGAGGTACTCTAAAACGAACCAACAATGCACGCACCATAATCTAAAGGTACAAATCAAACTTTGGAATAAAGTATGCAATCTAAAACTTATTCCGAAAAATGAAGGTCAAGAAAAGGGACATAGGACCTATGAGAGAAAGCCTAGCACACAAGCCAAACATCAAACAAAGTGGGAAAAAATTCTATTTCGAAAAAAAAAATCAAAACGATACCGCACTTTTTGGAAAGAGAAAAAAAAACATAACCAGAAAACTTCTAGAGAAGTGTCCGAAAAAAACGACACATTTTCACAAAAACGGTTGAAAAAAACAACAAAACCCAACCCATTAACCATTGGTTATGAATATGTGAAATGAACATGTGTGAAACAACAACGCTTTCCCTACATGTGGTAGGTTTCTGGTGTACTTGCGAGACAAGGAGGGAAATCTCTGGACAGGGGCATGCATTCTTCACCTAGCAGCACAGGCCTGGAAGCATTCGTTTTCTCTGTTTTAGTAGAGTTTTTACGGCGCTCACAACTGCATAAGGTCATATGAGTGCCAGAAGATTAGAGGTGTTACAAGAAAGTAACAAACATAAAAAAAGAAGAAGGGGAGATAAGGAGGATAGATGTTTGATAGGAAAGAAGGAGCAAACAACACCAGAGCACCCGCCAACCACCCACTTGGAAGCATTTGACAAGAGCAATTGTGGCACTGTGGGATGTCACAGACATACAAGTTGTGGGCGAGGACGGGTTGTGAGGGTGAGTGAGTGAGTGAGTGAGTGTGTGTGTGTGTGTGAGAGAGAGAGCGTGAGTGAGTGTGTGTGTGTGTGTGTATGTGTGTGTGTGTGTGTCAGAGAGTGAGAGAGTGTGTGTGTGTCAGAGAGAGAGAGAGAAGGAGAGAGAGAGAGAGAGTGCGAGAGAGAGAGAGAGAGAGACATAATGTGTGTATTTATGTGTGTATGCCTGTCTATATGAGAGAGAGAGAGAGAGTGAGACAGACAGACGGACAGACAGACAGACAGAGAAAGAGACAGAAATTTATGGAAAGGAGAGAGAGTAAAGACTTCAAGCGGCAAACTCTAGCCACAAGCAGCGCTGTCGTGTAGTCGACAATTCACAATTCTGAGCTGCAATAAACAACTCTGGGGATGAGGACTGAAAAATAGTGTTTGCTTTTTAAAAAAATTACATGCCGTTACACCCCCATGGACACAATTTTTAGTCTTCGTAAGAGTTTTACAGCGATTGCAACACAATAAGGTCATATAAGTGCCAAAGAACAGATGTGTTACAAGAGAGTAGCATACACAAAAAAGAAAAAGGAGAGATAAGGACGATAGATGTTTGATAGGAAAGAAGGAGCAAACCACACCCGAGCACCGGCAAACCCCCCACAATTTTCAGATCATTTAGCAGTCCGGCTTCCGACCCTGCCTGTCAAAGTCAACGCGGGCTGAGAGGGATACAACATACCAGCAGAAAGACTGACATACTTGATAAAACCTTCTCCCCATCCGAGAATCAAACTCAGGTCTCCTGATTGCAACAGTGAAGCACCTAACCAGTACACCACAGACGCCAGTGTGAGGACTGAGGGTGTAGGACTAAACTGACCATATGAACAACGATCAAATGATCGACTTCCATAGATTTTTTTTGGAAAGCGGTTGGGGGGAGGAGGGGGTATTCAAAATCGATAAAAAGTCAGATGCGAGCAAGATGTGTCAAGGCTGGGTCACTCAAAGCAAGGACAACAGCAGCAGCAGCAACAGCAACTTACAAATTTTGTCTTTTTTTCTTTTGTTTCTTTTGGCAGGTTTTTCCTTTGAAGTAGTTGAGAGGCCGCGGACCGACCCAGTGGAAGCTGCGAGGGAGGGAGAAACGGTTAGGAGAGAGGGAGGGAGAAACGGTTAGGAGAGAGGGAGGGAAACCCCCACGGCTGTTAGTGTTAGCATCATCATCATTGCCTTTCTCACCCTGCACCAGGGTATAGGCCACGGACAAACACCCTCCACTTTTCTCTATCCAGGGCTAGCTTCTTGATGTTATTCCATGTCTTCCCACTTTTCTGTACATCGATTTCTGTGATTTTTCTCCAGTTAGTGTTAGCGGAGTTGGGTAAACGCTCAAGCCTCGGGCCGCCAGGCTAAGCAGAGGCAAACACAAGCTGAGACATTGCCTGCCAGTGACAAATTCTTCGTTTGGTTCAGTAAGAGTTTCACAGCACTTGCAAACACAGTTAGGTTATTTATATAAGTGTCATAGAATAGACGTGTTACAAGCGAGTAACGTAACAAACACGAGAAAGAAGAAGGGGGAGAGATCAGGACATTAGGTGTTTAATAGGAAAGAAGGAGCAAACCACACCAGAGCACCTGCCAACCACCCACTGATAAATTCCGCAAACTTACATTGCTTTTAAGAAAAGAGACAACAATGTGAAGCCACTATATTTCCATGTTATAGCATGCTTCCAGAGTAACTTTAGTTTTAGTAGAGGTTTTACGGCGCTCCCAACTGCATAAGGTCATATGAGCGCCAGAAGATTAGAGGTGTTACAAGAGAGTAACACACATAAAAAAAGGAGAAGGGGAGATAAGGACGATAGATGTTTGACAGGAAAGAAAAAGCAAAGCACACCAGAGCACCCGCCAACCACCCGTGCTTCCAGCGTAACTCGGCAGAAGGTGATTATGTTGTCAGACGACATTAGAAAGTGACACTTAAAGAGATGTACTGAACAAGACAAGACAATGTATACAGGCAAAAACAATTTCTCTTAAAGATAAAAGCTCAAAGAACAAAGAAAAAAACCAATTGAAAAAATTCTATGACAGAGAAAAATGTGTAGCATAAGAACTAGATAATAATGCAATATACAACAGATTTGTAGAAAAGACCAAAGATGAAAGGCAAAAACAATGTCTCTTAAAGATAAAAGCTCAAAGAATGAGGAAAAGAACATTTGAAAATTCTATGACAGTGAAAACTGTATGAAGCATAAGAGCTAGATAATTGTGCATTATACAACAGATTTGTGCAGTACAATTAGGATTCAACTAAGAGGACAACGCGCTTAACAACATAGTAAGGAAAAAATAAAACCTTAAAAAAAAAAACACGAAAAAAATATGTTAAAAAAAAGACCAAAATGATTCTAGGTCACTAAAAATAATGAAATAGATCAAGATAAAATAAAACGAAAGCAGAAAAGTAAGTGCGAATAAAGAAGAGTGGGTAGGGAGGTACAGAAAACAGCGACGATCCTTAACATGAAGGTTGAAGATCAAGCAAAAGGAAAATGCAGGGAATATTTAGGTTTCTTTGCTATAACTATGAAGTAAACGTAAAAAAAAGAGGCATTTTACAGTCTATTAATATCTGAAATTAATAACATATGTGAGGCAGCATGGTGGAATCAGGCTCTCGTCAATTTTGGGGCATGTAGAGTTATTGGTATCATCTTAAATGTGTTCACTTGTCCTTATTTGGATGAAAAATATATCTATTTATCTTGAATACAAGTCGAGATATTTGCGAATGAAGGAGGTGGGGGTCACCTGTTTTCAGAGGTAAAATAAGTGAGAAAATGGCCGCCAAAGATTAGTTACATCCTTAGCTTAAGAGTCCGTGGTAACTGAAAATTTACATTTTTTGAGCCTTTAATCAACGTTTTTCAGAAAAATCCTCATGGAAATGAGTTCTTTAATGGGCATGAAAGGTGTTGAGCCAAAAAACACAAATTTGATAAAAATTCACAAACCTGCGGAAAAATGCCAGTTTCTTCACTTTGATTATTTTGACGAGAGCCTGACTCCACCACGCTGCCTCACATATAGTCTTACTCAAATGTTCAAAGAGAATATGAACTAAGGCAATGAATAGGGGACCACTTAATAGTAAGTGAGGCTTAAAGAATCAGCAACTAAGATGCTTCGATACTTCTGGAGCATTTTTAGAACTCCACTTGAGGATATTTCATAAATGAAAAGTTGTTATATTTTACTCATAGAGCTGAAACAAAAGCTACTCTCAATATAAACGGTATGTTGAATATAGCGCATGCACAATCTTTTAATGAATCATTCCCTTGTACCTCCAGCAAAAATTAAGAAGGCAAGGCGAAAAGAATCAAGGATAAATCAAGAGAGATCTAGCATGACAGGGAATAACAAAGCCAAAAAAGACAAAAGCGTAGAGGAATGGTCGGGGCACCAGGGTCTAAGCGACTGATAAACACACACCATACGGATCTTCTTTGATACCTTGGGGTCAGCACTAGTGCCGCGCCTCTCAAAGTATTTCCTTTCAATCCTAAATGACACAGAAACGGCAGCCGGTGAATACATAAGGCAATAACATGAATGGTGGTATTTTTCCGATCAGACAGAATCCATTATCAAGAATGAAAAATACTTGGAGAAAGTTTAAAACATTAGGCATATTTCTGTTCTGAAAAATACTTGGAGAAAGTTTGCAGAAAATAATTTCTAAGCTTTCTTGATAGGCTACAAAAATAAAATTACTTTAAGTCTATAACAAAAAAACAAAACTTAGGTAAAAAAAAATCCCAACAGATATTCCACCTGTAGACGGAAGACTTACATATTTTCTTCATCAATTATCAGACTACAGTGAAGAAATAACTATTCCTACTACAATGAACCCATTATAACCTTTTCTTAAGAAACAAGTAAAATTCTAACAGAGAGGTATCCTTGTTGAATTTCAACTTCAATAAGCTTCAAAGTTTCCTACGTTTCAAAGTTTCCTACGCTTCAAAGTTTCCTACGTTTCAAAGTTTCCTACGTTTCAAAGTTTCCTAAGCTTCCGTTCATGTTCTATCTATGTCAACACATGAGCATAGAAATATAAATATAATAATATTATAAGCATTGGTCTTTTAGAAAACATTTTTTAAAACTTCACAATACCATCCAAGAATAATACTTTTAAAGAAATTTGCACAGTATTCAAGAAATATGAGCAAAGATGTGACATCAGAATTCAGTTACTTGGCTATTCCTGCTGTTTAAGTATATAGACACTGGCCAACATGCCCCAACAAAACGCTACTTTAGAATTAGAGTCCATGCCGGCTTTAAGCACGGTCATCGGGAGAAAGCTTAAGCGTACTTAAAGCCGAAGCGTGCTTAAGTGCGAAGTAGACATAATCCAGAGATTTTCATGTAGAAAATTCCGCGTGCCGTTTCCCTTTGTTTGTAAGTAGGCCTATAGCGGTCCCGCAAAAGTGTGCATGGTAGTTTTTGTTCGCTTGTTTTTGTTTTGTGGTCGAATGGGAAATGAAAACTTAATTTAGACGGCCAGTCACCATGCAGCACACTAGGCCTACTGTAACACACTGCCTGTGCATACCATTGCCCGCTGTGCCACTCATACCACCGCCTTCATCCCACCTCGCGTGTGATACACAATCAGGATTAATGGATAGCGAGGGTCAAAGGTAAAATCTCAGCCAGCCTCCCTTTCTCGTCTCCCCGACTCTCTTTGTATTTTTTTTTTGGTCGTGTGTAGCTTTGCCCTAGGCCTAGGCTAGATCCTATGTCCGCGCGCA